CCTCAAGATGCTTGGGGGCTTCAACAAAAATCAAACAGAATTTAGTTAGAGTAATATAAGCAGATATGATCTCAACAGCTAAATCAGACAGGAGTCTGGAAAAAGAGCTCATTCGCATACTCTCTTAAATGGATCATAGAGACTGCGTGCTCAATGCTCTGAACAGGTTCACTGAATGGCCTGCTTGTTGAGTTCTCTTTGGCAGACATGCGGTTGTCAGACCCACCAAAAATTGATGAAATTCCCCAAGCTGACCCAGTAGTGCTTCCTGATTAACCAAAGATCATTGCAAAATTAATGTATTGCACAATGGTTGTGCCAGAAATCATGCCTCGGGGAAGCAATGGCAATGACAAAATTGTATGCAACAAAAATCAGTTACCATAAGTTCTGGTACTTGACTACCTGACTGTAGATCATGTTACCGAATAATTAACAATAAAAACAGAATTCACATACCAGTTCATGAGGAACAACATGACAGAAACAATATATATATATATATAGCATTAGACATTTTCCCAAGAGCTTACCAGATGATGCTGATCTCTCAATATCTACAACAGGCCGAACCCCCTATGAATCATCCAATGAAGACAAAATAACAACAAAAAAAAAACAAATTTCAATAGAGATAAACTATAGCGGAATTTTCAATTCTCTAAGTCTCTTAACATTGATAACACCTTAGCAAGAGGTACAGTATTAGCACAAGTTTGACTGTGACTGTTTTCTTTTGATGAATTACCATTATACAAGTGCCTACATCGCATTAGGACTTGGGCCCTGCACCTATGGGAGTAGTAAAAGACACCATTCAAACTAATATCTAGTGTCGATAGAAAACTCACCCCATTAACGTGAGAGACCAACAAATAGCCGTACCTGCTCAGGAACTACTCCATTCACGGGTCTGGCAAGAATAGCCCGAGATTTAAGACGACTTTCAGATGTAGGTGCTTTTTCTGAATCTAATGAATCCTGATTAACATAAAACAAATCAATATAATATATATATATATATATATATATATATATATAAAGTAAAGATTTTGAAAAAATGAGTAGAGAAGCAAATCATACAAAAGCACAGTGCAAATATACCTTCTGCCTTGGAATGGGTGCAGCTACCCTAGAGGACTTCACCTGTTGCAAGGCCATCTCCACAGCTTTACTCCCACCAATAAATTTTGTGTGTGAAGTGTTTATGTAATCCATCTGTGAAAAAGAATTAAGTCAATTGCAGCAATCAAACCTTATTGGGAGCACCAGTAACTTTTAAGACAACAAGCACGCATTAACAAATAAAAGAATGCTGAAAGGGTTTTATTAAACAAAGTCTCTGGGAAAGATTGGGCTTTCAAGTAAAATGGCTAGAATTAACACAATATGACATTGTTTTCGGCATATAAAATACAAAAAATTAACATACTAGCAAAAAGAAAGGACCCACCAAGGAAAAGTGAGCAAGTTCACACGTACGGAAAAAAGGAAAAGGAATAAGAAAGAAAGAAAAAGAAAGCCAACAAACCTATAATAATGAACCATCACTACAATCCATACGCACAGAAGTGGCAAATTGCCAGGCAAGGCCAAAACCTGCATGTAAGATCTTAAGGAGCCGGTGTTTAGCCCAGCCTGACCTTATGATATTCAAGCTCTAAACTAAGAAAATGGCAAGGATTTTAAAAGCTCAATTCTGATCCAGACAGGTCTCTTAATCACACAAATATATAATTGTTTTGCACCCACCCACTTTGAGCAGAACCAGTGTCAAATTTACATGCTTACTGAGATAGTTGGCCACTGAGCAGAGCCAACAAACATGAAAAACAAGAAGGAAAATACGTTGGAATAGGGAATCCTACGAGCCAAACCAAACACGTATACAAAGACTAGAACTACCTGTAATACAGATATGTAGCAAGAATTTTTCTCGTGCAAGGTTATTGTTTTTAAAATCCATAACGGTTAAATTGACCACAACTTGTTGGCAAAAGAAATCATTGATTGTCACAATGCTTATCGAAGAAACTATTGATTGCATCATCATAATTTCTGTCCAAATTCCAGTAAAATAAGTTCCAACAATATCATTACAAGGTAATTGAAGCAAAGCACTAGATTATTTTATCAAAGGCCTAATGAAAATATTGCACAAGCAATACAAGGAGTTGGAAGGAGCACAATTTAGAAAATCCCAGTTTTTTCAGCATACCTCCATTTCAATTATGTGCCCAATCATTGTCTCTGAAGGTTGGAGGCCTTCCCGCAGAAAGTTCCCTATAACTTCATCCATGCGCTTTCTTAGAACAGGAAACCGCTGCTGTTCATTGACCATACAGCGATGGCTCATCTGGGGGGAGAAAGGGAAAAAAGAATTTCCATTACTGTCTACATGTGGATAATAATGCTCCTTAAAGTCTGCACCTTAAAAGGACAAAAAAATTATTAGGAATTTCCACACCTTTATTAGCTCATCGTAAATAAATCTAGCACACTGAAGACTTGGGTCTAACAATCGAGCTATTTGTCTTCGAACAAGAAGTTCAAATGGAACCTACATATTCCAAGATTACAATAAAATCATGCAAGTTGAAAGCAGATATGGTGGTGGATAATATAATAAATAAAGATGAACACTGGGAAACGTATTTGATTTTTTCAAAGAGGAGAAATGTCTCTGAAGAAAGGAGAAAAAAGCTGAGTAAGACCTACTTCAGGAACAAATAAAGCCGATTTAGGACCAGTTGCATTCTGAATGGCTGTACGGATGTCATCATCCGTTAAATCCTCACAGGGGTCCACCTCCTGCAAGAGAGACCAAATCTCATCAGCGGTGAGGGATCAAACAGCCTCAAGCACAGCACCGTCTCCAATTACCCAAAACGAGATTTATGACAATCATAAAACCTTAAGGAGGCAGCTAGCTCATCCATGCTATTCTTGTATGGCCAAACAGGAATAAAAACTTTTAGAAACACATTTCAACTTGTTATGTCATGATAACTGTTATTTTAGGTAAAACTGTGTCAAAAAGAAAATCATTTTCTTTATAACATTTTTCTCCATTCATCTGAGCAAAGACTGTAAAAGATAAGAGACTACTGGATCTTACAGCCACTTTTAGTGTGGAACAGTCAAAAAGAGATATTACATCACTTGTCCTCTTCCCCTTCTTTTTAGTATCCACATGAAAGTTATGGGATAACTACAAACTTAATAGAGATATCCAATGCAAAAGTGCTGGGAAAGAAAGATGTACATAAAGTAATGAGTGCCTAAAGACAAAGGCATTCACATTTTGACTCGAACAAGGAAAAAAAGTAATTAGAAAAAGAACCTACAATCCAGAACCTCACAAGACTTGTTCAAGAAAAATTGATATCAAAAACACACCTCCAGACTCTTCACAAATATATTCTGGAAGATATAATGAATTCTTGCTCCACCAGACAATTCAGAAGTTGACATTTCCTCATTTTTTCCCTCTATCATTGAAGAGAAAGCTGTTTCCAAAAAGGAATTGATGGCACTATCAATATGCTCCAGCATTAAAAAAATTTAGGGGAGGGCAAAAAGGTCAATCTCTGTGATTCCAAGAGAGAGCTAAGGATAACAACAGTTGGATAAGTCACATTACCTTCAGAATATTTCGAAAGAATGTTCAGTAGAAGAGCTCCCTGACCAGCCTATTGGAAACAAAAACACATCAGTAAATCTGCATACAAAAGTAATAAGAAAGTGCTAACTGACTAATTGGCAATCATTACCAACAGAAACAAATTTAACCTCAAATGATCTAAATCATAATCATAACTGGGTGGTGTTGAGACCTGCCCAGTATGTTGTTAATAATGTTGGGCTCTGGATCACCACAGGGATATAAATGCAAAATTCAGTGCCCTGCTCTGTTTATGCAGATATCATTCTGCTAAATGCACATGGCAGAAAAAATGACTGCAAGACTCTAAACAATTTGTTTTTCATCCATTAAAAAAAAACTACATGCAGAATTTAGTCCACTCCCTTGCCCATGTACAGACTATACACTATTCTGGAACTTTTTCCATTTTCTTAGATGCGTACAGATACAGCAGAACCCAAAACCACATGACAGAAAACTATCTGCCAACCAATTCTTCAATGTTTTTTAGCATACCATACAGACAATTGGGATAAGCAAAATCGAACATGCCTTTGATTCTGTGACTTCCCCATAACTAGCATGCTCTTTAGCAACAGAAACCAATGCAGTGCTAATGCGAGACTTCAACCCTGGAAGCAGTGTCTTAATATGCCGTATCAGAATCTGCACAAAGCACGAAGGTAGATTACATAAGATCCATGGACCACTTGACACTTCGCTTATAAGATTTCACATTAACATGAAAAAGCCAAACTGATCTAAGAGGATGGAAAAAGAACAAAAAAACATTTGTATGTATTTGAAACATTTTTCCTTTCTTTTTCATTTTTGTGCGTGTGGGTACATCCTTTTGCGTGTACAGTGTTGGAAGAGTCCATCCAAGCAAGATGAATTATCCAACCAAGTAATACACATGCAAAAGCATCTGTTTTTAAACTGTAGAAAGTAATAACGAACAAACATCACAATCAGTCTCACAAATCCCTACCTGGTTCAACTTCTTTGCCAACTGGGGGACTCCACAACGATCAGCAAGATCATTGTACACCTATATTAACAGCAGAAGATATATGATCACTTATATGACTTAGTACAAGACTCGGACATCAACTACTACTCAAAGACAGTGCAGTCATACTGGACGACTACGAAAGAACTCCTCCTCGGCCACAAGTGCATCCTTAATGCTCCGGTTCTTCATAATATCCTGTTAAAGAATGTAATCAACCAACCAGATCAGGCACGTACAAAGTTGTAAAAACTCTCAAAGAGCCATTATATTAAAAGGTATAACTTTCCAAAACTATAGACATACACCACAAGTAATCTACAACACAAAGTTCTAGTGTACAGCTATGCAGAGAAGAATATAGGCTTGCCTACACAATCTTTCCATTTTTTCATTCTAAGCTTTACTCAAAACTTCCTATGTGCTCTTTTTTCCTCTTTCCATTTTTTTCTCTAGAAGACTTGGAAAATGCTATATCCCAAACTACTACGTATTTCAATCAATTTTTTCTCCAGCAGACTCTAAAGCAATATTTAAAAAAGCACAAATATAAGAAAGACCAAGGAGAACAGAAAACTTGCACCTTCTTTTGATCCATTGTACTTTTTGGAGAACCATAAAAGGGAAGTGCAAGAGGTGCTAGTTAGACAAGTACTTTGATTTTTGAGGAAAAACACATAAGAAGAACAAAAAAGTAGGAGATTAATGCATCACTCACATAAACGATTACTGCTCAAAAGAAACTTGTCCGTTGAAAAAGAAAGATTCAAGGGCAAAACAAAAATAGAGTGTACACATGATACTTTCAAAAGGTGTGCAACAAAAATATATAAAATTGAATAAAAGTTTTTATAACTAAAACCAGGGTGGAAAAAAATTAGCTTCAGTCTCTACTCAGCAAAACCAAGCAAAAGAATATTGTGGCATAAAAGCTTAGTTTTCCCCAATGATATGAGCTGAAATATTACCTCTTGGCTACGATTCACAACACCAACATAACCAAGTCGGAGGGGAATCACTTTTCCAAGTAAAAAATTGCGGGCATCAGTACCCCTGTCCATAATATCCAACTGAAGCAACAGAGAAAATATGCTAAGCCACGTAACAACTAACTGGTACAAAATTCTATAAAAGGAATCATATAAATAAGAAATCTGTTGTCATATGTATAACACACCTTTGTGATTACACCAATTGTCCTATAGCCTGCCAGCAGAAAATATCACGTATAAGCTACAGAGTGAGAGAGCAAGCACACCACACTATGGCTAATATGTCAGCTTGTTCAACTGATATGGGAAGCAGAACCTACCATCGGGATCAGCATTTCCAGCTATCTGAAGAGCATCTGAGTTTGCTAGGTCAGAATTTGCTGGTGTAACAGCTAGTATTAAACAGCTTGGTAGTTTAATATAGGACATTATCATTGTTCTAATTCGTGCTTCAATATCAGAAGGCTGGTCACCAACAGGAACCTTTGTTATGCCCGGCAAATCCACCAGGGTAATATCCAGGACGTTTGGTGAAAAAATCTTCAAGCGAATCTGCTTGTCCGAAACACCTTTGTTTCCTCCAACTTCCCTATCTGTCTCAGCCTAAATTCAAATTCAGAGAATTTGAAAGAAAAAAGATAAATTTTAGCCAAAGTTAAAAGAAATAGAAGAAATAAGAAAACTACTTACAAACTCGAAAAACCACCTTCTTCTACTTTAGCACTTGAGGAGACAAAAATATTTTTCCACTTGAGCAGTACCAATGCCAAGTTCTTAAAAACAAATTCCGCACCCCAATAAAATAGTAGACCTCTAAAACTATTATAAAGCAGTTCCACTTCTATGATCATTGGAACTGCCACAAGCAAGCTTAAAATGAAAAGATGCACAAAAATATTCAGAAAAGTATAATTTGTCAATGTTTATCTTCTTTATTTATCTAATTGTCTCCCTTTCTTCTAAGCTACTGTTGAACTTTTACAAATTCCACTATTAATGCCTTTCACTGCCAACCACTGGCATGATATTGGTCACATTATTAAACCCCAGTATGGGGAAAAAGTTGTTCCCTTCATTTACTTGTCAAAAAACAATGCAAAATATCCCAAAAAACAACAGTTATTAAGCATGGTACTGATTACAGACAGAAGAAAGACATGATAGGAAGTAGGAACAGAAATGAGGAAAGGTAGTGGTATCAATGAACTAAGCAACTGATAATAATCCATTTATTAAGCTAAATAAAGGGGCAGTTGTAATCTAAAGGATATTCGTTAACAATCAAAAAGAAAATCACTAGCAAATTAGTACAAAAACAGCTACCTGGAAATTTTTCATTTGTCTCCACTATCCAGTCTTTCTAGTCAATCACTCAATTCATACCCAATTCATAGTTGTGTTCTATGGAGTCCTAACACAATGATGTTACTATCAGCATCCAAATAGCAAGTGGCAATTGCTTATTTCGGCAGAATCATGCAAGCTTCCAATAGACACAAAATGTATACAATATCATTCGTAAACATATCGATGAGATGTTCTTTCATGTGAAAGTACAAAAAGATATTAAAAATTCAAGTTGGGCAATGAGATATAGATTTTGGTGTTAAACAGTACGTTTGCAGTGCTACATAATTTAACTCTGCCAAAAAAAAAAAAAGTTGCCTAAGAAAATTATATGTACCTTAACTGAATAAATAGATTAATTTTATTACGATGCATGTCTAGAATTTAACAAGATCTAGTAACACATAACAGTATTCATTCTTCAGGAGAGTAGTCTAAAACCCTCAGACATGACTTTTCCGAGAAGTTTGTATATTGAGTAGAAACATCATTTTTCTTGCTGATTGATAATATTTCGTAAAAGGTTCCTATCAGAAGAAGAATACAGCCCAAGTACACATGAAGAATATGGGAAAGAACTAGCTACAAATCTGCATCATAATTTATATTACTACAGACAGTGTTCCCTCAGAAAATCATATATAGCATATTCCTATCTTCAAAGGATCAAAATTATAGCATGATGGGAAATATCAATCCTATGGTTGGAAAATAAAGACTTAAGAATAACATGCTAAATAAATATTTAAAACATTAAAACCTATAAGCCCCGACTAATGTTAAATGAAGTGTATATGATCAAACTAACTTGGGAATAAAATTTACAATCACTGCACCACGACCACACCCTTTATCGAATGTGTGTATCAATAAAATGAAGTCTATATAATAAGAATGGTAATGGTGACAGTGTTGGTTGTGAAGGCCATTGGCATTGGTGACAGTGAAGGTGTTGGTTTTTAAGGCAGTGGCACTCATGGCAGAGTTAAGTATGTAGTAAAATGCTAAAATAGACAACAAAGGCAGATGAAATTGGCAGTAACCATATCAAAAGTCCTCTTGGATATAGTAGCAAAGCCAATGCAGGGCCTGCAGACTTTGCCATGATCCACGGGACACTTGCTGACTTCTTGTTATCATGTAAACAGTTAAAGGTAGCCTGACTTTTACCAAATAATGCACTATTTGCATTTTATCAATGATATTACTACCAGCATCTAAATAGAAAGTCGCAATTGCTTATTATGGGCAAAATCGTGCAAGCTTCCAATGGACATGAAAGGTGGCGTGATTTACCCATTCACACTATCAATTACAATAATATAAAAAATTCTCTAAGATATGGTAGCAAAGGCAATGGTGGTAGGGACAGTTGCTGTTATTAACAGTTAAAATCAGCCTGATTTTTACCAAATAATGCACTATTTTCGTAAAATTAAACTAACCCTAGTTCAGAAATGATCAAAACAACTGGAGATTTGAAGAACTCTATGATTCTTGAGCTCGGCTGACAATGTGAGTACACTACTAATAAATACTTTGCACCTACTGAAAATTGATCAAAAAAAATAGAGCTTTGTTCCAATCTTCTACACACTACTTCCAGCAATAAACAGGATTTAATATCCTTGTTCCCCAAATGAAAATTCTTCATCAATACAATTTTCTGACATCCCATTTTTGTAAGGAAACGTTACGGGGTGATATTCTCCCCATTCTGCTTTTCTATGGATACTCACGATAGCACAGGTTTCATTTCTCAATTAACGGTAAGATTAAATTCCAAGGATCCAACAGAGTTAACCAAAAATACCATCTCATCACTTGGTTGCCAATTTGAAAACGAGGTTATATGACATTCCTGTTTCCAAACTGTTAGGAACTCAATTTTACCACACCACACAGTCCTATTAGCCCCATTGCTTAAATACTACTGTACTCTCGAATTCAATTAAAAAATCTTGACTAAGAATCAGAATTTATCCCGAATCCAGCGAGGTTCAACCCAAAAAAAAATCTCGAATCCATAAAGAATCAATACATTATAGCACAAAAACCATGTACATATAAAAAATTACCTGAATTTCCCTTCGAATATCATTAAAATCGAAAAACCTCTTCCCCGGAAGATGCAGGAACTCTCCATACTCCTCCTCGGTTCCACCCGCTTTCCTCTTTGTCTGGAGGAGCTGCAAAACCAAGGGCCTTCTTGTACAAATATCGGAACCCCTCGGCAAGAAGTCCCGGCCAACTAAAGCCTCCAAAACGCTCGATTTACCGCTGCTTTGGCTTCCGACGACGGCCACCTGAGGGAGCTCTATCGTTGACTGGCTTCCGAGCTGTGCAAAGGTGTCCTGGAGCTTGTTCACTATCGGAATCACCGAGTGACCCAACGGTGCAGCATTCGAAGTCGAAGCCTGTGGTACTGGTTCTTCCGCCATTGATTGAGATCGAGATCAATGCTTAGACAGAAAGTATAAATACAGAGAGGGATTGGCCGATTGGGCTTGCAGAAGTCGGTGAGGGGGTGAAACCCTAGAGGACTGTAGCTTGTGAGGGCACTGAGGGGGATTGTGAATTGTGAGGTGGAGGAGAGAGAGGCAGAATTTGAATTTTTTTAGGAGAGAGAAAACAGAAGGGGAGCGGCTCTTCTGGTACCGCCCAAGCAAGAGAGAGAGAGAGGTTACGATTGGCTTTTGATTTGATTTGGGTTACAAGGGGATTGAAGCTTCGTTGAGCCTATGGTGTGGATGAAATTAAACTACGCACCATCCTAGTGAAAGACCATTACACCCTCCTTTGACATGTCAGTGGCCATCAAAACACAAAACAAGCATTTATTTTAGGGGAAATCTCACATTACACCCCAAAAGATTTAAGTTTTTTCATTTTTCACCCTTAACTATAAAACTACTGACATTATTTCTAAGATATATTAAAAGTGTTATAACGTAGTCATTCTGTTATCTTTTATTACTTATTTTATCAAATTTCAACTCATTAAAGTCTACGAAATAAGTAACAAAAATAAAAAAAAAGACCACATTATAATAATTTTAATATACGTAGAGTATAATATCAAATTTTAATTTTTAAATATATAAAATGAGAATTTTTAAATTTTTAAGACAAGTTTAATTCACCCTTTATTTTAATCAAAAATAAAATATAACATAATCATTGTCTGCTGACATTATCAACCAATAAATAATAAATAACATAATTATCGCCAAGTCCCGTTAGCAAATCAACTTGATACGATATTTCGTTTACTGGAATTATTGATTAAAACACTGCTTTTTTAAAATATATATATTAAAATAAGGTATTTTTTATCTTATTTTTTAAATTATGGCATTTTTTAAAAGTAAATTCAATGATTCCGCTTTTGTTAAAAAATAGATTCAATAATCCCGTTTCGGTTAAAAAAAACGGAGACAAAAGTCCTTTGTAAAAGAATAGGTCAAAAGCGTGGTTTCTAAACACGCTTGTTTAAGGTTTTTCTGAAGACCATGTTCACTAAACACTGTTTAACACAAAAATATCATGAACAGAACCACCTTTTCTGAAAAGCGTCTTTCTCTTCCGTTGCATGATTGAATTCCATGGTATATTTTTGCAATACCTTTTTCTTTTTGTGGGTTTCTGAGTTTTTGACTTATGTTGAATGGTTGATTGATCACCGTGTTGTATATGCACTTGGAATTCATTGGAACATTATTCTCTTTTGTCAAAGATTCAAAAACAAACATTTGCTGTGTGGGTTTCTGAATTTCGAAGTGATTAATTCATCACTACTTGTTTGAGATGATTCTTCTAGATGATGGGTTTCTGGATTCAATTTCGAAGTTTAATTCAGTTTTTAGAATCATGGAACCATAGGTGCTAGTATGATTTTGTTCTTGAACTCTTCTCTTCTTGAAGAGCGGCTGAGAAATGGGTTTTGCTGAAAGAGATGGATTTTGCTATTCTTTGGAGAAGAGAGAGAACCTGTTCATCTTCCCAAAACAGATCTTGTTCCAACAAGAGCATAGGAGAGAAAGAAAGGTTCTTTCAATTATTGTTCTTGTTCATGGTGGTGCTTTCTCTCTTTAAAGCTTCTTCGCCCTCTTCCTCCTCCCATTATTCTTCCTCCAGTAAAGAGCATCAAACAAGAGTGCTGGGTTTGTCGTTGCAAACATAATATTGATGGTGCATAAAAATGAATTTATGCATAACCGAGTGTATGATTCATAGTAATTAATGAAACAATCAATAATAGAAGGCAAAATAATGGGTAGTTGAGCCGAGGTGGCCAAACTAGATAGTAACTGTGGCCAGAGAATTTTATAAATAAAGTAGAAAGGGGGAGAGAGAGCAAAGATGAGTTTTAGAAGAGGTTGATTAACTATGAGAAAGATAGTCGTGTAAATAGTCTTGTAAAGCCTCTCGTGTGGAAATGACTTACAATTTATAAACACAAAGTTTTGGTTGAGGCAGTACGCGTGATGGGTAGGTTACTAGGTAGTTACAACTAAGATATGTACAATTAAAGATAGTCTTTTTAGAGTGAATATTCCAATAATTACTCCACACGTGCGCTAATCTTCCTAGATTCCTTAAACTTTGAACTGGGACGAATTCATGAGTTGGACTTTACCTGCTTTATAACTGTCTGAGGCTTAACTTATTAATTGGGTCTGACCCAATTAGATCTGGACTTATCAAATATTATTAAATGTAAACAGTACTATTGTAACATATTAAGAGCGTGTTTACTAACTACGCTTTTTTAAAAGCGTGGTTATTAAATACGCTTTTAATGTGCAACTATCAAATATAATTTTTTAAAAGCGGGGTTGTTGACCTATTTTTTAATAAAAACGAAATTATTGATTCCTTTTTTAAAAAGTATTGTATTTTAGTAAATTTATTTTAAAGGAACGGTATTTTGATAAATTACTCTCGTTTATTAGAAGATTTGACTAAAACCCTAAAAATTTATGTACAACTTTTAAATACTTTATCTAAAATATTAATTTATCCAAAAATCTTACATAATCACCTTCAAACAAACACTTAACCAACGAAAACTCGATAAGTTGGAAACATTGCAAGTATATATAAGAAAATAAGGGTGTCATAAGTGATACACCACTGATCTTCTATAATCTCTACCAATTGATACAATATAATATAATTAGTTATTTCTCGTGTTTGAAGATACGGAGTAATAAAAAAAAATTAACAATAAACATATTTGTATTCACATTTAAAATCAAATCACAAACATAAAGAAGAGAAAAATAAATTTAAGCAACGATTGTAGTGACGACAACCGGTGGTAGTAGCATTGGTGGTGGTGGAAGATAGTGACGGGTGGCGACGACTTTAGTGATGGTGGCAGTTGTGTGTGACAAATGGTGATGGTGGGACAGTGGTGGTGGTGGTGGTAGGGTGGCGACAGCTATGGCGGTGGTGGTGGTGGTGGGGTAATGGGGATGGTGGTTTGACAACAATGGTGGTTGCAGTGGCAACGGTGGGACAGTAGGTGTAGTGATGATGGTAAGGTGGCGGCAACAGTGGTGGTGGTGATGGTGGGGCATTGGTGGGGTGGTGATAATGGTGGTGGTGATGGTTGTTGTGGCAGAGATAGTGGTGAGGGGTGGCGACAATTGTAGTGGTGATGGTGGTAGGGGTGGTAGTAGTGGTGATGGTGATGGGGCAAGGGGTGGTAGTTGTAGTAGTGGTAAGATAGTTACAAACACTACTTTAAAAAAAAAAATACTTATGAGAAGTTATAAATCTTAGAAATACTTTTAAAAAATTATCTAAAACACACTCTTAGGGACTGATTTTCTCTTTTAAATTTGAGATATTAATATTAACCGTCAGATTAATTTTAAAATAAAATTTAAAGAGATCTCAACTGTAAAAAGTAAAAGTCATTTTGTTTATTTTTTGAAATTTGAATTGTATTGTACTTTATTATATAAATTATAATATAATTTTCGTGAGTTTGACTTCCCAATAAATAAATTATTTATTTTATATTTGTATTTTACTTTATTATTTTTGTTATTAAATGCCACAATCAAATCCAAAAAAGTTTAGTGGGATCCAAATATAATTCATGGAATTAGCTTCAGTACACAAATTATATTCTAGGCTTGTCTATGAGTCAAGTTTTTTTTTATTCGATGGTCAAAAGTGTTCGGACCATCTTATACATGCCTGGACTAATTTTTTTTTTTGTCTGATCAAAGACAAGTCATCCACACCTAAACTAGAGTATTCATGAGGAATAAATATCTAATAGTCTAATCCCAATAAGGTATCAAGATTCGAATACAAAACGTATGAATTTACAGTTTATCTCCGTTACTACTTGAACTATCTCTAGAAGTTGTCTATGAGTCAAGTTGGGCCATGATAGTATGATGCCCAGCCTAGAATATTAAGCTTGATACTTGACTTAAAAATTAGCTCCCTCGACGCAGGATTGAATAGTCGTGGGATAAAATTTTTAAGTATTTTTCGTAGGCTCTTTATTCTCACTCAACTTTTTATTTTAGAGATTAAACATCTGTCTGTCAGCCATGCTTTACTTAGGGGAGTTACTCTATTGATATTATGGCAAATATGGAAAGAAAGATGTAACAGAATTTTTGAGGATTAATGTTAACATTACAATACTCTGGTCAGCAAAGTTCTTCATTTTTTGAGGTTGCAAGTGCATATTGTCAAGCCAAAAACATTGGATTCAGCAAAGGAGATACAGTTATTGCATTCATTACAGGTCCCTAACACTGGTGCAGTGAGGATGCATACGTGGTGGATAGCTTGGAGATACCCATCTAATGATGTGATTAAGCTTAATGTCGATGGTGCTTCAAAAGGCAATCCAAGTGAGTTAGGAAGGGGGGTAATTCAACGTAATGCCATGGGTTAATTTGATTCTGGCAGGTTTTTTTTATTATGGTAGATGCACAAATATAGAGGCAGAAATGCAAGCTTAGTTGAGTGGCCTCAAACTATTGCAAGACTATGGACTTCAAGATTATGATTTGTTGATTGAGACAGATTCAAAACTGGTGGTTGATATGGTTAATAAGAAGTTTAAAGTGTCTTGGAGGAATTGGGTTCTTGTAGATCAAATTACTTCTACCCTTCAGCAGTTTAAATTCTAGATTCAGCATAGTTATCGAGAAGGTAATATGGTTGCAGATGCTTTGACAAATAAAGGGGTTACAGATAAACAATCGACCACATATGATTCTATGGGAAACATTCCTAAAAAAATTAAGCTACTTATGATGCAGGATTCAAGGCAAATTAAAAATCTAAGGAAAAGAATCTTATCTGGATGATGTTCACACTCGGATCTTATGTGCTTGAAGGATTAACGTTGTAGTTTACTGGTATTCTTTCTTTGTTCTGGGATTTAATGGCTTTCTCATGGTTTTAAGATTCTGGACTTTCGTCTTCATCCCTCTCATAAGGAGAAATATTGGACTTTCAGAAAGGCAGATCATCTGTCAGTGCATTTGACCTTTCTATTTTCGAAGGCAGACTGTGTTCAGTTTTCAAATGGTATGCTGGAAGTTCAAGGGACTTATCTAATAGCTGTTCAATCTGTTCATCACAAATGCAGCCCATTTATGCTGCTGTTTTGCTCATTTACGTGATCAGCAGCTGCTGTTGTCCACTAAGCAGCTTGCAAGTTCTCTCAGCTTTTATACTCTCAGCTGCCAATTGCTCTTTTGTAGGCTTACAATCTACTTTGGTTGCCACAATTCACATTAGGTAGCATGCTTTGTGTATTTCATTTCATTATTATTGTACTATGCATGCATTTTGCCTTTTCTGATATTAATTTTATTCATGTAATTAGATTGCATCAAGGGATAAGGTACATACATCCCCCTTAACTAGGTGTAATTTATTTTTAATCAATAAAATTCCCTCGCACCGTCGAGGTTTTCCTAAAAAAAAAAAACTATCAAAAATCAAGCTCTAACAAACTCTCTATTTAAAATAGCTAAAATAGAAAACCTTATTTGACTCTCTACATTTGGAGAATCTAACTCACTCTCTATTCTAATTTTAATGAATGAAAAAGATGATACATCTACATTCTTCATTAAATATTCTTGACTATAAGATTATTTTTTTACTAGAATAGAGAATTTATTGGAGTTGTCTAAAATATTTTCACTTTTTATTTCAAAATTTTATCAAAGATGTTATCTATTTCAAAAAAAGATACTCTCTAAAATAGAGAGTACTATTGGAGATGCTCTTAATTGTAATTTGAATTTTTAGTTTACAAGATATGGTTTATAGATTACAAACTCACAAAATTACAATTTTTTATGTATGTAAATTTTTTTGTTTTTAACCCTATGACTAGCCCATCTTGACCCGCCAATAGTAGTCGTGAATTATATGGGGTTTTTGTTTGATGGGTTTGGGCGAGTTTGGAATGGTGGATTTAAATAAAAGAGTTTGATAGACTATTTTATTCTATATCTCGGCATGTAAGTGGTTCGGAGTATTAAACCCATGCACATGAGTTTTGGCAAACCTGAGAGTGGTTTCATATATGATAGCCTAGGTTAATTATATCAAATGACCATTCTATTCTTAATAAAATATCATATCTACCAAATCCTATTGGTTCATTGACCAATAGACAATATAGTCATTTACAAAACAAATGTGCATTGATAATTATTATAAATTCATAGGTCCCACATTTATTTATATAATTTTTTGTAAGCCAGTACTTAATTTACTACTTAATTGTGGAAAAATGTTCAATACAAAATGTTTTGTGTACAAGTTTTTTTTTTAAAACAAAAATGCCCACAAAGTAACAATTACCTAAGGCAAATAATGGATAAGGAAACTACCATAAATCATGCAACAATCACATTAAATTCAACAATTGTTATATCCTCAAAACATGGGTTTTAAATTTTTTTTTTTTAAATTCTGCTACAAAATTCTTCAATTTTTCGAAAAAAAAAACCCATATGTTGAAACATTATTGAAGACTGATCTGACTTCTATTCCTATTCAAATTGCCGATAATGTGACATTACAATGACATATGATAGTATAACACCTTTATTAACCCTTTAATCACTAACAAAAAGGTTATGAAATTACATTTACTGATTCAGACACGATCTAAATAGTATGCATCACGTAATGTGATATATATATATATATATATATATATATATATATATATATATATATATTACTTTTAAAGAATGACAGTATTACATCACAATGTAATATTGTAAAGTGATAATGTTGTTAAATTTGAGAATAAGCAAAAATGTTTTGTACTAAAAAATAAAATAAAAAATGAATTTTAAAATATGGGTCATGACATTAAGATATATTCCATTTGGTATAATTTTGAATTTCAAATATGTTAAATCTCTTAAAATATGAAACCATTAATATAATAAATTAAATCCCATATAAAATGGGATTACTAAACTAACAAGCCTTCAAATAAGAAAAAATATATTTTGGTGAAAAAAATATTTAAAAATTTGTCAATGAATACCTAATTACAATACATTTCAAGTTAAATATTTTAGTCACGTTATTTTCTCATAATTAAATAGTTTAAAACGTATCTGCTCTCAATTTTCTTTAATTATATTGCTTACCAAACATAAGATTAGATTGAATTTATATTTGAATAACAGAATCTCTTTTTTCCTTTCCCTTATCTATTTTAGGTAAAACGGATTTTATAAGTCAAGTAGGCAAGTCTGGGATCAGAGAAAAAAAAAATTTGTTTTCTTTCGGACTTTACAATCAGAGAAGGAAATGAAAACCGTAGTTACAAGGAGTTTTAACGGGCAACGGCCTTTTTTAAACTCTTTTTAGTTAGCTTTAGAGTAAACTCTATAGAAAGATACAAGTCCCGTTCCCTTCTTGGACTGTGACGTAGACCCATACCCGATATCCACCCCCAATCCGTTCTGACTTGACTATTTCAAGACATGGGCTTGACCCGGAATCGTCCCGCCCAAGCCCTACCCTTGGCCCATGGAGACTCTTATATTCAAAGAATATAAGAGTCTCTCTCTCTTTATATTCACTTTAGGGTTTGGACGCATCTAAACTAGGAAGATCATGGCTAGAAGAAGCTCCGGAAGAAGCTCTGGTGATTTTTCGATCTTTGCTTCTTCGGTCTATTGATGACCATGCGGATCTGTTGTTCTTTTCTCTTCTCACTTCATATTCGAGGGTTTTGTGCTTTCGTTCACCTATTGTTGAGATAAATGATTTAAATGTTTTTTCTTATCCTTCAAATAGTGGGTTAGTTTTGCAATTTTGTTTTGGGGCAATTTAGATTCACCTAAAGAGGATTGATAATGAAACAATTTCTTATTTCTTTATATGAAAATTTATTGAGTTTATTTTCCATCACCGTGACTTTGCTGTTGCAATATGGTATAAAAGCTTGAACTTGGATTTGATTGTTGGGTCTTGAGATGTCTTTAGTATATAGTTTCATTTGATTACTGATACTCTTAGTTGGAGTCTGGAATAAATTTTAGGTGTCAGTTACTTCTTGGATCATCGTGTCAAGTCCAAGGATGAATTGGGGAGTACATTACAACTACCTAACAAAAATTGCTTGACAACGGCGAAGTAAAACATGATAGGTGTCAAGTGTCAACTTACATAGATTGGATCATTGAGTGAAGTTTTGATCTGGGACATGCTATGTGCAAATATGTATGGTGTCGGGTCATCAATTTGCTACATTATGTAAAGCAACAAGAATTGTAGACTTATTTCTGTTTATGTTCAGGTTTTTGAAGGGTTTCTCATTGTTTTTCTTTGAAATTTCTTTTCAACATTTCCCAATCTTTCGGAATTCATGTGAGTTGTTCATTGACTTTTTGTAATATTGTAATATGGTTATCTGGGCGCCTAGGACATCGTGGATTTTTAACTTTGGCATGCTTGAATTTCGTGGTCTCTTTTGTATCCACTCTGTTGTGTCTATTTGCACAACAAAACTGAGCTTCCTTCTTAGCCTAGCAAACATAGAATAGAAGAAACCTAAATACTGCCATGTTTATGTGTTGTATAATTCCTCACATGGGTATTGTACCTGCTTTGCATGGCTAAGAAATAGTTGTGTTTCTTTGTATTGTCAATATTTCTGCAGCTGTTTATAATTTCTTTTGCAGGAAGATCTGCACCCCGTGCGGCTCCTCGTCAAGCACCAGCTCGTAATCCCCCTGCACCAGGTACTGTAGGATTGAATCATTAAGAACCATTATAGCATTCACATGAATTTGAAAGTTTCCTGTGCATCAATGTGCTAATTTTCATTTCATGTTACTCTTCCTCCTCCTTTTTTTTTAATCGTTTTTTTTTATCATTCAATCTACCTGAAACTCAGTATCATTTTTGTTGTTTTTTTATTGTTTCTCTTTTTTTATTATCTTTCAATCTACTTGGAATTTAGTGAATTGAATCTAATTCATGCATTGTTTTTGTTGCCGCAGCAAACCATGCTCCTCCTCCAGCTCCTGTTCAAGGTGGCAGTGGCGGATCCATACTTGGAAGCATTGGTTCAACCATTGCTCAAGGTAAATGAAGAGAGATCATCAATTATTATTGCAGTTCATTGTCTATCACGACAAATGTATATTTGTGGGGTGGTTGAATCTGGCACAATTTTGAACAACTATTGTTTATTTTGTCACAGGCATGGCTTTTGGTGGTGGAAGTGCTATGGCACACAGGGCTGTAGATGCTGTGCTAGGTCCTCGCACCATTCAGCACGAAAGTGTTGTATCTGAAGCTGCTGCTGCCCCAGCACCCCACATGAACAGTATCGGTGGCTCTGATGCTTGTGGTGTGCATTCTAAGGCATTCCAAGATGTATGCTCTGTTTCTCTTAGTTGTTCCCCTTACATGGGCAGTAGTTTTTGAAACACTCATAGCATCTCCCTCTCTCTCTCTCTTAGTTGTTCACATTACATGTGCACTAGTTTGTGAAACACTAAGAATAGTCATACTTTAACTTTTGAATCTGAATTTGAAATAAAATTGGATCGCAAGGATGATTTTCTTTGGTAGTTCTTTGCTGATTGGGATGACAAAGACCATTTCCACATTTTGTTGGATTGCTTCACTCTTCGAATCTTTTGGGCTAGATTCCCAATATATGGTTTTTATGTTAGGCTTAGTTGTTACTTTATTTCTGAGCATTGAAGATATGAATATTATCAAGCAAAATTAGATGCATTTTGTTGGTTTATATGTTGGGAAGTGAGAGAATCGGAAAATTCACGGTCAGATATTTACATTGTAAGTATTACTGTTTATAACAGAGCAAACATTTTGTGTCATCGTGTAAGCTCAGATTTCTCATGTTATTTTTTTGTTACATCCAAACTATATGTAATGTAATTGTCCAATCAAGCTTCTCTAAATTTTGTTCTTGGAGCTTAAGCTAAGACAACGTGTAGGGATATTGAGAAGTGCCTTCTGAATGTGTTTTTCATCTTTGGTTTTTTGCAGTGCCTGAATAGCTCTGGCAATGATATCAGCAAGTGTCAGTTCTATATGGATATGTTGTCCGAGTGCAAGAGGAACTCAGGTTCTATGATGAGTGCCTAAGTAGTCCACCATACTTTGCAATACATTGAAAAAACTCTTCTATTTTGCTTTTGATTACTGTGTTTGGTGGATTGACACTACATATTTTTTACCAGTGATTTCCGTCTACTATTATTGTTTTAGCTAATGAACATGGTTTTATGCATGCTTGCAATAAAGGTACCAAACTTGAATCTTTTATGAACTCTTTGGTTGAAATGGAGGCACATCAGGGTTGTTGCTGATGTTTCTCCAGATGTAATGCTATTGCATATCTACTGCCTAATGAGTTCTACATTTGGGTGTTTCTGATATGTGAAATCTTAGCTGTACAGTAATGCTTAAATTTGAAAGACAGATTACAAATATGGGGATTTCTGTTACAGTTCAATACTTCAATTTTAAAGAGAAGTACCAGTTTGGAGAAGTTACAATTTGGCTCATTTTTTTTTGGGTTTTTTGTGGGTGGGTACAATTTTCAATACTTATTTGAGCAAAAGTGCATGGGTAAATGGTTTATTCTATTAACTACAATTTTTATAAAACTTTTTATATTTAGGTACAAAATTCAAATGAATTAAATTTTTTTTACTTAAACACCCTTCCTTATTTTATGCAGCCATGATTGATAGTTATTTTAGGAAACGAATATGTAAAGATTACATATTTGTTATCTATTAATTTTTGAATATTGAATGAGCAGTTTTGTGAGAGATTTATGCATCTATTGACAGTTATTTTAGGAAACAAATATGTAATCTTTACATATTTGTCATTTTTATTTTTTGAATCAAACTTGTGTGTTTAACTGATAAGTCATCTTCAACATAAGTCTTCTTCAATGGTAATTTATTTCTCCGGTGGTAGTTTTCTTTGAAAAAGGAATTGTAAATACTAATCATCGTTATCGGATTGAAGGTGAGTTGTTAATAATTATAGATATATATATATATATATATATATATATATATATATATATATTTTTTTTTTTTTTTGGGAAATTTCTTTGTTCGATTTTTGTTTTATGTTCGTTTCTTGTTGGAATGGAGGAAAAAAAATTGTTTTGATCTTAATGGGTGTAACTGTTTCTTATGGGTGTTACTATTTTAGTATAGATAAAATAATTATATTTCTTCTACAATTCTATCATTTTTTTTGAGAAATTCATATGTTTGATTTTGTGTATGTTTGGTCGTTGTTGGAA